GAATGGTCTAGAACAGTCCACACTGTTTACATAGCTCTAATGGAGCTGGGTTTACTGGGATAGTGACGAGAATCAGAGAGATATCATCTAGTTTGGATTGTTTTCAAGGGTGGTCTTATCCGTTTGCTAATTAAAGTGGTGTCCATGTACACACACCATAATACACACACACAATAGCACTGGCACATATCCTTTGAATGTTATCATTATCCTCTTCGTGTGAATGACTGATTATAGTTCTGTAGAATACCATGTTCACACACACAGATCATGGCTACATGGAAATGAATATACACAATCTCATTCTAGGAGTCACAAAGACACACACAGACACAGACACAGACACAGACACACACAGACACAGACACAGACACAGACACACACACACACACACACACACACAGACACAGACACAGACACAGACACACACACACACACACACACACACACACACACACACACACACCACACACACACACACACACACACACACACACACACACACACACACACACACACACACACACACACACACACACACACACACACACACACACCATGCCAGACACAGCTGTGAGCACTCTCATTTTGGCAATAATCTCTCAGCTCTCTTCAAAGACTCTTAGTGAGCCATGTCCATGCCCCCCCTCCCTCCCACAACACACACAATAGGCACACTCACTAATCTGTTGCTGTTAACATCATAGCTACATGATCCATCCTTCAGCCATTTCAATCTCTGCACTGCATGCTCACTGACTGTGGCGACATATATGGTTTTCCTATCATAATGAGCATAATGACAATGTATATGCAGGATTTTAAGTAAGGGGAAAACTTGCTTAAATAGGCTATAGATTCCTTTCCAACTGCCAGTATTTTCTTTTTTTGTATGTCCCGAGATGTTAGTAACCTGCCTCGGGAAACGTGTAATTGTAAAGTTTCATTTATGTCTTTTACTTTTTCAGTTATTTTTTAAACTCTCAAAGCAGTTAGTAATTGATGAAGGAATTGAAAGACAAAGACAGTTATTTCTGGCTGTTTTACAATGATCAACGAAAAAATGGCTGATTCTGTCTGGCAGCAAAAGAGAGAATAAAACAGCAGTTTGTTTTTTTACATCTAACTCGATAATTTGTTTTTTAAAAGTATGTTTTAAGATGATCAGCAAGGTAAAACGACTGTATATTTCAATGGATTCTTGTAGCTTTGAGAAGAGTGCATTGGTGATTGATTTTTTGTATGTTGAAAGCCCCCTCAAAAATCCAATCTGATTGTTTTATTTGTTATATTTTCACTGCACTTACGTAGCATAGCTTAGTTCCGGAAAAAGGACAAAAAGTAAATATTCCGTGCAAGGTGCCAATTTTTTACCGGGTTGAATACAAAATGTTATCTTTCCCATTGATGACAAAAGCAGATGTTAGTCTGTCTGGTATTCCTTTTTCCTTAATGACCACCTCGTTGTACCTTATCCCGCTTATTATACAGCCACATACTTAATGAACTGGCAATTTCACTCAATGTTAATTGAAAATGATTGAATTGAAAAATTATCGTATTGCTTCGGCTAAGAAAAAATAGTTTGTTCCAATGCATACCAACAGCTGGAACTGCAGCAACAGCAACGTAACTGAAAATTACGGCAAACTGGTCGAGGTTTTCTGTTACTGTCCAAGTCTTTTCACATTATATTTTCTACTAACAAGTCCTTAAACACTGCCAGAGCCCATACCGTGTTCCTGTTAGTGTTTACTTCATGTATGTCTTCTTCTGCTGTTCCCTTTAGTGTTTACTTCCTGTATGTCTTCTTCTGTTAATTTCTCTGACGTCTAGCTGTCTGTCTCTTTCCTTCTCTTGTTCTCTTGTTCTTTTCTTAACTGGGGACAGTTTAGCCAACATGAATCCAAAGTTTTGGGCTTTCGACAAAAATAAAAATAAATATTCCAAAAGTATTCCATGTTGTTTTCTGATGGACAAAATACTAATGTTTGTTGTCCAGTTGATGTTTAATCGACAGTCTTCTATCTGCGGAGTGATATGACTGCACATAGTCCCTTGATCATCCTTAACTTCTGTCATGTTCTCCTTAGCATTGGTCTGTTAGCGAGTATTAACAACCTCTGAAATGTTCAAATTGACCAATCAGAATCAAGTATTCAACTAATCTGTGTAATAAGAATTGTATATAACCTTAATAAAGTGATCTCTCTCTCTGATTCTGTATCCCCATCTGTTCACTTAGTAACAGAAGCTGATTGCGCTGTGATCCATGCTGCTGACCTCAAACTACCTTTGACTAAAGTGGGTTATTTTTGGTCCCCAGCTCTGTTGAAAATCATCACGGGAAATCACATCATGCCGCGTGAAAAGCACGTCTATAAATAATACAATATGGTCTGGGGCTAATGCAGAAGAGTCACGCTGTGTTTCTGCCAGATGCTGGGTTTCAGAAGCTAAAAGGTGACAGGAAACAACATGACTGATCACTTTTCTTCCCACTATTTCAGCCCACTGCATTCAAACATGTGCACATCACCCCACATTGTAGAGAACAAAACAACAATCAGGTGTACTCTTCAGTAAGCAATCAACAAAACATGTTCATGTGTTTTCCAGCTCAGATCTAAGCCAGGGGCCAGTAAACAGGTGAGCTAATGCTGAATGAGCAATATGTTGCAAGGAAACGGCATATGTAATCTATTCTCATTCACAATTATCCATTACTCATGTACTTGGCTCAGTTGGCTGTCTCTCTGAACACCCTCGGCCAAACCTAGACATGCACACTGATTTGGTTTCCAGTCTTTTAATGGAAATTCTCCCAAATCTTCCCGCCAGAACCCAAATAGGAAATCTTTAGATCAAAGATTGCGTGTCCACTTTTGGCTAAGAGTTTCTAGGTCTATGCAAGGATCGCACACCCAATGGAAGGGCAATTATGCTTCTTATAACTTCTGGAGCACAACATGTTGGAAAATGTGTGTCACGTTAGGGCCATTTAAGCTGCCTGCCAACTGCTGATTAAGCCAAGTTACATGGATTAGTGTGAGAGCCATCTCTTCTTAGTATGCACTGGAGGCTTTTGTCAAGGCTAGAATGAAGAAAGATATGATAATGCTCATACATATATAATTACACCATTTTGTTTTTACACTTATTTTGATTGCAGATTTGAATGCCTTAAAACAGATTTTATTTACACTCCATGGGTTTGTTTGCAGCTACTGGACAAGCTGTTAGAAAACGTAGCCATTTAACAATCAATCAATAACAAACAAGTATTCCTAGGCAGCATTCTGGTCTCTCCGAGGTGTAATGCACATTTTGAAGATTCATTACACTGCATTTTTTTTTTACAATTGCAATGAATAAATTACTCTTTGTCAATAATTACATATTTTATAGAGTTTCTAGTTCTGCTGAGCCCAACATTTTCAGGCTACATATCATTAAAGGCGTTTTCACCTCACAGATTTACAGGTTTAGTGCAGTCACCCTCAGAGCCCACATGCTCAATCACACATAACATGCCTGGTGTGAAATGGCTGATGAAGAACATCTAGACAGATAAAAAGATCACACTGCCACATTTCCTGTGAACACTTAAAAACACTGCAAAGACTGCAAAGACATTTGCTTTTGCTGAATGTGTCAATATATAAACCTGTGTTTGAGTCTTTCCTACTCTCGGTCATGAATCACTACTGTAGTTTTTGTCCAGCACACAGTCTGAGGTTAAATGTTGTTGGTGTTGAATGGTCAAGTTGGGCTGTTTTTGTTTGGATCAGTCTGCGCAATAATCTTTTGTTATTGGCCCCTTTCTTAGTTTCACCTGGTTCACGTTGGTAACCAGACTTCAGGCCTGAATTCATGTGCGTTCATGTGAACTGCATGCCTGCACTGACAGCCAGCTGCATTTGATCATGTCTGTGAACCCTGAAGCTTCATTGAAAGCTATATTTCATGCAAAGCACTCACCAAGCCATGCAATAAACATGTAAAACTCAGGGCAACAATCTCAGACCTTATCAGCTATTTGTCAGTCAACAATTTAGTCTCTTCCAATATTATGGTAGCTCTAGTGTAGCCATCAGATTTCCAGAACTCGTCATTTTGTTCAGTTTCTTAGCTCGCTTGCTTTTTGTGGTTGATCCATTTTGCCAATTGATTTGAACAATCCACACGCAGCAGGGAGATAAGAAACATGAGATGACACCCACCTACCACCACTCAAACTGACCATAGCCATAAGATGTGTAAATGTAATATAAAACAAAAGTATGAAAATACACCCAATGAAAAATGGAAACTAAAAAAGGTGTACAATATATGGCTTCCTTTTGTAGTTAGTCTCAAATGGCTGTTCCATTAACTACATTTTTAGGAGGTTGCTGCTTGGATAAAATCCAATCAATTTTCTTTCATTAAAAACATTCAGTCAACAAATCCTGGCGCCAGGGTCCACAAATATACTTGGAGATATGACGTCTAATGCAAGTACACCTTCCATTCAGTTTACCTTATTGCTGAAAAAAAGCTTAGTCTTGGTCAGAGAAATAGAAGATTGGTTGCATTTTGGCAAATTCTTCATTTACTCCTAACAACGACTGTTTATCTGCATGTAACCAAATCCCACAAATATGTGATTGGTCAATACTTGCACTACAAACAGACTATAATGGAAATCAACATGTTTCACATACATCTTGTCCCATTGCTTTACATATCCTGCTTTTATCTATACATGTTTTTATAGATTATAAAGAACAATGGAAATAGTTGATCAGTTATGTAATCTTAAAACAATCAGAAACTGCGGTGGACATGCTGAAAAAGACAAACGCTCACCATGGGGCAGTCCAGTTGTGTCCGATAATGGACACAGTGACGTTAGTCACAGAGCTGCTGTATTTACGATGCGCTGGCCCTTTAAGACAGCCCGTGTTTCCATTGGCACAGTGACGTCAGAGCAGTGAAGGACTCCAGCCTATCCTCTCCAAACAGTGAAGGCAATGGTCCTGGCAGAGTGTCCTGCTTTCGGAGGGAGACTTTTACACTGTACGAAAGCTAAGGGAAACACTCGTCGCTGATGTGAACCAGAGCCCTCGTGCACTCGCCCTGGATTAAAACGGAAACTTTTACGATGGCTCTGTGGGTGAAAAAGTAGCATTAGAAGCTAACCGCCGACGGACCTTCCACTGCAAAGCAACTCCGAGTAGATGCACGGCCACTGCTGAAAAATATGCTCCAGCCGAGCCGCCTGAACCCCGGCTTCAGCAGCAGATTCCCCGCGTTATAACCAGTTTTGTGAGACATTCTCCGGGCTTCTGTTTTTATTTTTCCCTCCGCTCCTTTCCTATAAAGTCTACTGTACGAGACCCACCTGCGAGAGAGCATTATGGCAGGGAAGCTGACAGCAGCGCAAGGAACAGGAATACTGCTGGTGACAGCCAACGTCGGGTCATTGTTCGAGGATGTGAGTGTTCCCTTGATACACGTTGTCTTTCACTGTTGTCTGTTCAATGTTGTGTGTTTATGTTTTTTTTCCATTCGGCCGTCTTCATGTTATGCTTAAATAATGTCTCAACTGGTCACGACTCGTGGTGTGTGTCAGGTCGGCAGCCCAAACATAAACCCGCCACGCACGAACACATGGGCCTCACACAACCATATAAACATGTGTATGTGTTAAAGGTATGCAATGCCCCATTATTTCTCTCATGAGTATTGATCATAGCCTTATGCTGCAGTATAGTCATAATGTTCTATGATCCAATGTTGGGCAAAGGTAAACACTACTGCATTTGGTATGCAGTAACAGTATAGCCTACCTAGTATGCAGAGGACACCCACCTTTTTAGTGTGAATCTGCAAGTAAAACCAAACTTATGTAAGTCAAATTAGTTTTTCTTAGGAATCCCAAATGCACCACTGTAAAGGTCTAAAATAAGTGTATTTATATGTGTGGTTGCTTGCTAGAATGAATATTTTTGCTTTTCACTGCATCACCGGAGATGTTACCTGCTACACAGCTCATGTTTGACACCCTCTGTATTTCGTTAGTTGATGACAGGGCTAGTAGGGTCTTTTCTAAAGTAGACGGTGTACATAAACTCACCAACATCCTATTTGCATCTTTATGAGAACAAACCACAATTAAATATTTACTCTAGATAAAGCCACTTTGCTTTGCCGAAGAAAGCAAAGGCATACTCTGTGGAAAAATAGGTGTGTCAGGGCTCTTAAGGAGTGTCTGTGCAGGTTGTTGAATGATATCTCAGGTTGTTATCATGCATTTGGACTCCTTGCTTTTTATGTCAGGCTGTAACTTGGTACCTAATGATACTAAAATATAGTGGAAACTAAGTGTTATTAAACTATTAAATGCTTCAAGTTCAAACGCTCTTGTGTCACTTTCAGTATTTTGTCAATACAGAGTCCCCCTCTTCCTCCCTCCCTTCACCCGTGTGAAGAGCTGATCCAAAACATGAGGGAAGAGCGTCTCCCTCGCTGGAGTAAGCCTATTAATAGCCTGCCTCTCTCTCTCTCTCTCTCAAAAGCAGCACGCTTTTGGTGTCTTGTGGATCTTTTTTTTTTCCACCAGACTTCTCAGATGGAGCCAAAATGTGCATTAGAGCATGTTTTTGTCGTATTTATGCTCATATATAAAGTTATCTTTGGTCTGTATTGTGTTGACATCCCTTATGATGTATGTATGAGTTCTATCAATTCTTTATTTATGGCTTTTTCCGCTATTAGGTCCATTGTAGATAAGTCTTGTGTCATGACGGCAGAGCCTGAGTCCTTCAAGATCCCATATGAAATGCATCCAGCCTTCTAAGGCTGATGGTATATCCCCATATCATCTAGAGTTTCATCTCTGAATGGAAAATATGCTGTTTACTTAGCTTATTGCAAATCAAATAACGCCGCTCCAGACTCCGCGTTCACAGCTCTTACACATGTAAACCCACTCTTTACAGCCTCAACATGCAGTTGTGGTGTATTTGAACAAGGACAGCTACTCTGCAAGAATTGATTAAAGCATTTCATGTAAATTATACACAGAGTTTTTCCCTTGAAGGTATAGGTGACCTAAGTATAAACGGGATAACATGGCTTGTTATTAAATACAACATACACATATGTTATTTAAAGATTCATTTCTTTGTCAAGTTATGTTTAATCTTTCACAAGAAAGTGGAAGCTAGCTCAGTAGCTACTGTTGTACCACAAACATACACTGCGGGTGGATTCAAAACGTATTTATAATTGACACAGTACTGTTGTTGCAGTGAAATGTGCCTTTCCCCCCTACTTTCATACGGAAAACAATCTCTAATCCATAGTTCTGATTTTCAAATACACGCATGTAGCCTGTAATTAAAACGGATCCTTTGAAATCGTCTTTTCTGCAGTAAGCAATGTCCTTTAGCAAATTATAATTGTCTCTGACTCCAGTTATGAGATATTGTTTAAACAACATTTAATGCGAAAGACAAACAGTCCTCCTCAGGTTCAACTCTTATTCTGTTTGTTAGCTCTCTCAGCCATCCTCAGGGAATCTCATTATGACCGCAAACATTCCATTTATGAAACAGCCATCAAGAGTAAACCATTATTTGCTTTTTGTTGAGTATCTCATGCTAACTCTCTCTGTGTTTCTAAAGTGAAGTCCCCCCCCTCCCGATGACAGCTGGGTTATGTGTTAGCTACTTTACTTTCAGTGCGTTGTTTGGGCAGTCTAGACACAGGGCTAGGTTCTGTGTCAGAATAGTGCCGGCGTCCTTTTTTCAACTGCAACGAGGTGAGAGCGTATGCCATTGCATGGGGCCACCGAGGAGAAATGCTGCACCCAGCGTGTTTTTTCTGAGCGCTCCATGTTCTCTTGTGGCTGCTTCCGAGCACTTCAAGGGGAAAACATCTCAACTTTTCAGAAAAGAGCTGGTGATGTCCTGAAATTGGAGGAGAAGCTTGTGTCTCTCAGATGTTTAATATCAATTTAAAAAAAAAAAAAACTCATTTGTTTGGGCAGATCGGCTGAGCGGGCCCTGAATGTTGCCGCCGCTGAGTGTAGTAACGTTATCGTCAGATGTGGATTATCCTCCTTGTCGGATGAAACTCGGAGCAGGCTCTGCCCCGTGCTTTACCAGTGCCTTTCTGCCACAAGAAGAGGCTATGAAGACACAGGGCCTTAGGTTTTTAATGGTAACCTAATTAAATAGAGCAGCATGCAGCCTTGCAGATTCCAAATTTCGCTTGTAGGGTCTTTCAATGATGTTGTTGTACACTTATAATATTATTCTGTGGCAAAAACAAGCAATTATAGTGGACGCACATTGGCGCTGCTTAATTCCCCGGAAGCCATACATTGTCTGTTTGAGATGCCTGCTCGCACTTTCGCTCAGTGCTGAACTCATTAAAAAATGTGTTGTCCCCATAGGTCACTTGGACACAAAAACATTGGAAACGTCTAGAGCTTCAGATGAAATAATGTTGACTTTGTGCTGAAACAGATACGTGCAAAACTGCCTGCGTGTGAAGATGGAGCTTAAACATGCATTATCATCAGTATACATGAAGTCCTCCCAAGTCTTAGGATACTTACTCCCCCAGGCTTGGACTTGCTATCCGCTCCCATCCTGGAGACACAGTGGGAACGCACTGTGGGAGTCCCACAGGTTCAGCCTGTAGAACACAGTTCACCATAGATAGATGAAGCTTAATAATGATTTTGCTTAACTTTCAATTGTTGTCAGTTGCCTGCTAAAGGCCATCACAGAGAAAAAGACTAAAAGAGATTGAGAATGCAAGTGCACATAGTGAATCACTTTTTATAAGTCAGGACTGCGGCCGCACGATATGGATACAATACTGATTTAGATTATTTCGACTGATATTGCAATTCCGACTTGATTCACAGTATTGAAGGGGTTAATCATTTTGGACCATTATCTTCATTATCATTCAAAATAAGATATATTAAAAATGATACTAGGGGAAAAGCTGCCACAAATGTATTGTATTTGAATATTTTAGGCACACATAAATGAAGAAAAGTATTTAAAAGAATAAACAGCTACAATAGCATTTCATGTATTTTTTCAATGTTGGCGACAATTTCAACTGAACTACATTTTGTTAATCAATACCAATTTATCATGTTTGACAACCTGATCATGTGCCTTGCTTAAAAAAATCTGACCACCAAAGGTGATCAATAATTATTGATGCCAACATTTTTAATTCAGCAAAAAAACATTTTAAAGTTATTATTTTATGATCATTGTTTTAATGAGCATTCTTACCAAACAAATATATTTGATTTGGTCTGTAGAATAATATTTGTAAGCCAGTGTATCTATGAAGCAGCACAACCCTTAGTTCAGTAACAAATGTGTGTTTCCTGCTATTTGAATATTGCACTAGCCCGTATTGCGATTTCAATGAATTGCGCAGCCATATTCAGGACATCTTTGAAATTGCACCAACCTGTAGCACACTGTAGGGGATGATGGAGTCTCTACATTAGTCAACCCAGTTGAACTCTCAGTGAAAACTCTTGGCAGAATGTGGGCAACATGTTCAGGGAGTGTTTTCCTTTGGCCTGCGGTTTGTTTGTTCAGGTGGACACCCTGCTGGATGGACTAAGGTGTCACCAAATAACAGCACCATGACGCCTGAGGTGTAGGTCTTGTTTTGAGAGAGGATGGAGGTGTAGTGTCAGGGTACTCTGCTGTATCAACAAACCAGTAACAGGAAATGACTCTTTAAAAGGAAAGTTTGGACGTTTAAATGATTTCTTAAGACAACGTATACAAATTCTTAAGTGAAGCCTACAATTTACAACTCATATATTGGAAATGAACATCTGAGAATGTACATTTCAGACAAGCCTGTGCAGGTATGCCCATAATGCTTAACTGAAGTTGCTGGAATTGGAATCCAGTTATTTTTACATATTGTACCACCCAAAAATAATAAGTCATTCGCAGTTATTTTGACACACCCTGTTATAAAAAACACGAGTTAATCATGGAGAAGTTTTAGGATTATTGTAAATATTTTTTAAAATATGACGGGAAAAGGCTGCTCACTATGAATGTTGAAAAAAGTGAAAAATAAAGCCTGATTTTGAAATTGTAGAAAATAAAGAACAGACTACTTATTGGGGACAGTGATAGTTATTTATCCTTTTATTTATGTAGGGGTCCTTATGCGTTGATCACCTTATTAAATATTTGTCTTTTTGCAAAACAACCTTAAAAAAGTGCTTTTTTCTTGACAAAATGTTAGTGATTCAAGTTTTCATTTGGATGATTATAGGGATCATATCGTAAAGTTTCATATCAATCAACCCAACATAAAAACAAAACAGTGTTAACTTCTGCATTGAATTGGTCTGGAGTATACAAATAAATATTGGTATGATTTGTGTGTCCTTGACCACTGTGTGATCTCTGGTGGTAACTGAAT